ATTTCTTTTCTCGTTCTTCTTGTTTCTTTTTCCTCCAACAACTGCTGTAATCTCTCTTCTTGTTTCTTTTCTCTTCCTCCAACAATTGCTGTAATCTCTCTTCTTGTTTCTTTTCTCGTTCTTTTTGTTTCTTTTGCTGTTCTTTTATTGCTGCCACCAACTCTGCTAAGCTGTAGTTTGATTTGCTGCTTCTCGTTTCCATCGTCTTTTTTTTTACCCACTCTCACCAATTTGTTACGTCTCTGGTCGTTTGTTAATTACTCGTAAAAATTATTTTCAAAGAACTTCAGTGATAAAAGTCCTTTCTTAAATAAAACTAGTTTATTCTTTTTCAAGACAACTTTCAATAAACTTAATTTCCACAGTCACTTAAACACACGCTATAATTCTCAACGAACGATTCACGCACTTTACTTACTACTGCGCTTGACTCAACTGTCCGTCTATATCTTCAATCTCTCTGTCCGCTTTTTAATTATCTCCCCTGCTTTATTTGCCAGTCTTATATATACAAATTAGAGGACGTTTCGAGCCTTCTGGAACCTTCTAGATACCCATTACGTGTTACCAGAGTCACGTGACTTCCGCTGTCGTAACAATATATATATATATATATATATACACATATCTTTACGTAAAAAGGAACTCTGTTGTATGTTTGTCCACTAACTCTTCGCACTCTATTTCACCAACCTCCACCAAACTTGGCATGGTGACTTCTGCAGTTCCCAGAAGTAACATCAAGGGGTTAAAAGTCTGTCTGTCCATCTGCCACGCCGATAACTTTGTGCATATATTAGATTATATTTTAGGGTAGGTTCTTAGAGGTTGTAAATTCATACCAAATTTTAAAGAGACAAAAAGGAGCTTATTAGTCCATCAAGGATGTCCCTTCCAGCTCCAAACTATGACCATCTCTTACTACTAATGTAGTCATCCAAATTTTTATTTAACTCAGTTAACTCATTCCAGAAACCAAACACAGTTTGAAAAGTGATACTATCTGAACTTCATATGAATCCTACACTGCGAAAAATTTGAATTTATGCCCCCTTCTCCTATTATTTTCACTGCTAAATACAAAAAGGTTTGATGGATCTATATTACTAATAGCCTTAATAATCTTAAACACTTCAATCACATCCTTTCTGACCCTACTCCGCTTCAGAGATATCAAGTTTAGAAATTTTAGTTTCTCCTCATAGGACAATCCCACCATCCCAGGTATCATCCTAGTGGCTCTTCTCTGAACCTTCTCCAACAAATCAATGTCCTTCTTGAGAGAGAGAGCCCAAAATTGGACACAGTACTCAAAATGAGGCCTTAAAAGTGATATATAGAGTGAAAAATTATATTCCTTTTCTTGTATTCAATATTTCTATAGGTGTTACCCAATATCCTATTAGCCCTATTGCTAGCTACAATACACTGTTTAGATCACTTAAGTGATTTTTTTCGATAACAACATCAAAATATATTTCTTTAACCACGGCATTTAATGTATTTTCATTTAATTTGTAACAATAATTTAAATTGTGAAAACCTATATGTATCACCTTACATTCTGAATAGTTAAACATCATCTGCCAAGTATTGGCCCAATCATCAAATTATCTAAATCTTCCTGTAAGTTTGCAGCATCTTTGATACAGTTAGCCACCCCAAAAATCTTAATGTCATCTGCAAACTTCAAAATTTTGTTGGTCATTCCATAGTCAATATCATTAATATAAATCACAAATAGCAGAGGACCCAGCACAGAGCCCTGAGGCACACTGCTTGTAACTGTGTTCCAGTCAGATCTAACTCGATTTATTACTACTCTCTGCTTTCTTTTGTCCAGACAATTTTCTATCCAATTTAATAACATTTCCCCCACACTCATAGATTTAACGTTTGTAACAAGTTTCTTGTCAGGCACCTTATCAAACGG